TGTGGTTGGGAAGCCGACAGGTCGTGAGGCTGGTCATAAAACGGCTGGTGATGCAGGCAAGTCGGAGGATTCACCATTGGATACGGAAGCAGCGCCTGCTGACAGCGAGCTGCAACAAGACAATGAGTCGAGTGACATCCCTTCCACGAGCTCAAGTTCTAGTGACAGGTCGGGTGAGGGAATGGATGAGGACCCCGTGAAGTTCATCCCTGGGCCAGTTTAGTTCAACATCTGGAGTCACGTTGTGCATCGTTGTTCACCATTCAAGCGGCAGACACAATGCGGTAGGCTGGCTGATGAGGAGCATTTTGAATATTTATCAGATGGTTGCTCCACTATCAATGCACGTTGCAGCAGGTGTTTTCAAGGCGAGGTGATTGCCAACCTTGAGGGTCTTGTTGAAGCGCTGGACCATGGCCGAGCCAAGCGCCAGAGGGCGAAGTGACCTTTTGCGCACAGGCAAAAAGAAAGAGCAATGAGAGCGTTGTCTGTTGTCCACCAGAACTGTTGAGTTGGAAAAAGCATGGGGCGTGATATTTTTCGTTTAGAGAGGTAAAGGGCGGCCAACGGGTCCGGACTTGTCCTCACCAGTTGCGGCCTAAATTTCTGTGCCGTTGAAGCCTTGAAGGGACCTCACAACTAGTATTGTGCTGGCAAAGTGACAGCTGTGGGGCTCGAACCCACGCCCTTGCGGACTGGCGCCTACTTGGCCAACCTGTCTTGGACGCCAACCTGAAATGAATACAACATGGCTTTCCTCATGCCTGCAACCTTTAACGATCATTTGCCCTATTATAGACGGTGTCCTTATCGTCTAGTGGTTAGGACATCGCCGTGGAATATTGAACTGGGGCGGCCCATTTTTGCGTGCCTGCTTTTTCTTACGTTTTGAGGACCAAAAAAAAGGGCCACTTCTTTGTCATATTGTTTTGCGCCAATTTCCATAGCCTTGAGGCCTTCGATGCCTGCCTCGAAGCCTGCCTCGAAGCCTGCCCCGAGGTGTTTTGTTCTAATTTCCATGGTCTCGCGACATTGGAGTTCGAGACTTGCACTGAGGCCTTTCCCCTATAAACTGTTTGTTTTGCTGCAATTTCCATAACCTTGAGGCTCTTGAGGCCTCGAGGCTTCCCTTGAGGCCGTCCCTTTGCGCCAGCTGCGGCCTAAAATTCCAGCGAGGCAGCACAGTTACCAACTACTTAGCTACTTCAAGTTCAGCCTTGCTGGGACTTCAACACTAGTATTATATAGTTTCGAGCCCCCGGAAGCCTCGCTTTGTCCTTGTGCCAATACGTTTTGCGTCCGAGGCGTGGCCTCGGCCAGGCCTCGCCGAGCCTGGAAGCGCCTCGATTGCAGGCTTTGGAAACACGGGACTTCTTTCATCAACATAACAGAAAGGGAAAGATTGTCATGATCAGGTACAAGGGGCTAGTTTCGGGTTCGTTTTGGCACCTGAAACTGATATGATTTTTGGAGAGGAGTTGGGGCCTCCCTTGTTCGACACCCTTATTGCCAACTCGGTGTTGGCTTGTGTGACGTTGATGCATTTCTACATTGGAAGCGCAGCTGAAGAAGGTGCTTGGGTGGGCTGAAAACCGGACCTCCAAGGAGGCACCGGACGTTGTCCCCACTGAAAGAACAGAGTTTGCGGCAGCAGCACTTTTGACCATTGTGGAACTGAAACATAACATGAGCACATGACATATCACCGCAGAAGATGGGTCACAGGACGTAAAACCGAACATATCTTTTTTGCTGGTATGACTCAAGTGTGCTCAATGAATTTGCGCGATAGCAGATAGCACAGTACTTCAAAAACGATTTCCCCATCCAATGGATTCCAGTGGCGTGAATTCTGCACACAGACTGTATGTGTTTACAAAAGTGGGCGACTTTGGTTTCGGCAAAGTTTGTACAAACATGCTTATTGTTGTTATTGTTCAGCAGCAAAAATCATGCCGCCCGACATGTTCGCAGAATTTGTTTGGATTGATGTTCTGGAAAGTTTTGACCAATCGTCAATTTAGCTGACTATTTGTTAAACACACTTTGAACATCTTGAATGTTCCTTCGCTTGAACTGTTTCAAACAACCGTGCACCCTATTGTTTTAGTTATTTTAATATGTAAATGTTCTTCAAACAGTTTGGCTCACAGTCAACACACAAGACACAAAAATTGAACATGCGTCCCCAATCCTGTTGAACGGTCGCGTGTGATTCACACCTTCGATGTTGTTTGTGATGGTGTTTCAGTTCAAGTGGTTGATTTCAATTGGTTACCAGGTTGATAGATTTTAGTAATTGTTGCGAACAAATCCAATGCAAAAAACAAAAACAATATAACAAACACATAGAATGTTGTGAAAATGATCAAACATGTTTCAAACATGTGATGCGATTTCGCAGGTTTAACACAAGATGTTTGTATTTGATACAGGGTTTGCATGATGTCTGCACAATGGCCAGGCGGTGGAAACAACTTTGAAAAAACAAACAACCAGGAAATCGTTTGTCCGTGATTAAAAACAGCAGCGAACCCTGCTCTTGATTAACCAAACGTCAAATTTCCATATTTTTTTGGATTTTTGATGTCAAACATTTTGATTTCGATGGTTGGAATGACCTTGCGGGCCAGAATGGATTTCAAAATCCAATCATATCAGGGCGAAATAAATGCAAAACAGTCACGCATGCCAAAACCAAAAAATCAAAATTATCGACAATTTTTGGACACGGTTTTAGTTCAGTGAATCTTGTGGAAGCGGTTGAACCTGAACAGTCCAAGGGTGAACTGATGCATTTTGATGTGTTTGTTTAATTATTTAACGCGTTCACAAAGGGATTGGCCGCCAATTCCGTTCAGGAGGGCAAACTCTAGAAGTAGAAGTCGCAGAAAATGTCGGAGCAGGATGGGGCAGTAAAAACATGAATCCACGTGTCAAAAAACACGCTGCATTGGGATGCATTTCTGAGTTTTTTTAAAAGTAAATAAACAAAAAATACGTATGTATATCTATTTATTTATCTATCTAATTATCTATCTTTGTAAATGTATATGTATATGTATTTGTATATGTATATGTATATGTATTTGTATTTGTATTTGTATTTGTACATGTATATGTATATGTACATGTATATGTACATGTATATGTATATGTATATGTATATGTATATGTATATGTATTTGTATTTGTATATGTTGTATGTGTATGTGTATGTGTATGTGTATGTGTATGTGTATGTGTATGTGTATGTATATGTATATGTATATGTATATGTATATGTATATGTATATGTATATGTATATATACAATAAAAAAATGTATGAATGTGTATTATAAATATATTTATATTTAAATGTATATATATAGATCTCGATTCAAGCGTATTTTTTCTTTAACCACTACGCGTTCTCGTAGAAACCTCTTTGTGGCATGTAAAATTGTCTGTTTAATTCTATATACGATTTGGCTGAATGGGATAGCAACAAACAATCCGAACAAATTGGTGTTTGCAATATATTTTTGACGCACAGGTCCCCCCGTGTGACAACAATATGGATCAACCAGTCTTTCAGGAATTCTGGTTTGTATCGATTGCTCTGCAGGAAGACGCGCAAGGCATCTTGCCTTCGGCATAAGCGCAGCCGTTCTAGAAAGCACCCTGGCATTTTGTGCAGAGTTTTTGGGCAGACCTTGATGCAACCCCAATTTTTTATTTTAACATAGTGTAGTGCATTAATTATGTGTGCTGCTATGTGTGCCAATCGTTTGATCTCTTCCAGGCAAGGCCAAAGAAGCGGGCACGTCAAAGATTCTCAACGTCCACATTTCAGGAGCTCGATGGGTTTGTGTCGTTGTTCTCGCCCACATCAAAAAATACGTGGCGTTTGGGTTCTTGGGATAATTTTTTTGTCCAGAGCAATGAAACAGTCGTCACCAATCTGATGGACTGCCATTCAAACTGTAATAATTTTTATTAGATATTTTCAGTACAAACGCAGAATTGGATTAGTTTGTTGTAGATTTTGGGCTGATAACAGTCGGGATTCGCATCCACATTCAACGAAAACAGTGAATTGTGGACCTGTTGCAAGAGGTGGACCCGCAGAATGTTGCTGGGTCCAGAAGAACGGCAGGGGGGCTTGGTTTGGGAAGGCTGGACTTTGCGAAGAAACGGGGATTTGTATTGGATTTGTTTTTTTTTTCTTCGGATATTCTGATATTCTATTCTTCGACATCAACAGAATCTACTTAGGCGGCCTTGTTATTTTTTGCTTTCGTTTGATCGGTGTGTGTGTAGATAATTGTTGCTTGCGGGCACCTCTCATTTTCAAATCATTGCTGCAATTGGCGAGAACTCATTGGACTTTGATGGTCGGGTTTGGCTGGATCTGCCCCTCATGACACTTACTGCTCATTTGATCCGGTGCTTGGTGTGATTTTGACCGGTCACGTGTGATATGTGTGTTACCATGTCTAGGTTTGAATACTCTCATGAAGAATTCATGATATATTTTTATGTGAATGAATTCATGTATATACGAAGCTTTCGGTTGAGTGCTGCGGTGTTGTTTCCATGTGTGCATGAGGACATTTTCAACGCAAGATTATATGTTTGCAAATTTCTGGTTTCAAGTCACGAGTGTGACCATCGGCAAGTGCCGAAAGTTTGAACTTCATTAGTTGACAATTCAAATCACAACATGACAATTCATTGTCAATCACGACTTCAATTCCATTTTCGTCAACTAATTTAACTTAATGAAGTTCACGTTCAATTCAATTTGAATTTCACTTTCAAATCAGAAATTTTCGTTGACCGGGCCGCGCTTCATGCGACATCGTTCGGCCGTGTCGAAGGGACAAACAGCCTTCACATCATCAATACAGCTGAGACCTTTGACATCGAGTCCCACTCCTTTCTTCTGGTTCTTCATTGGCTATCTGGCCGGCCTTGTCAACGGCATATTGTTTTGCCTGTGGCTGATTTCAGACCCATGACGGGTGTTCTTCTTCCTGCGGATCAAGTGACTATGCAAGTATACACCTCTCGAGAACCAGAAGATCCCGAGTTCACGGTGGATTCGATTTTGCCTTTCTTAGGCCTGGGAGCCACGGAGTGTGATCTGAATCACTACGTGCTCCCAATGCAGACGTCAGTTCAGACGTACGTTTGCCCGGCCTTAGAAGCGGCAGAATCGAAGTGGATCCCTTGGGACACGACGCTCGAAGATTCCTTCCGGCTTCACATGCTGGTATGTGACAGGGAAGTCTTCGTGTCGATGCGCCACTTTGCCAGCCTCCACAACTATGTGATCAACTTGGGAGGTGGTAACCCGGCCAACCGCATCCTCACCTATGTGGAGCTCCACTGCCTGCCACCGACCGAAACGGTCGAAGTGCTTGGTAGAATGCATAAGACCTTGCGCAAACTCAGGGACGACGTGGCGATCCTGAAGACCGAAGTGCGCTTGTTGCGCCGTACGTTCGGTCAGGCATTGGAAAACCTGGCCGCCAACTATGAAGAGCTCGCTCCTCTGGTGGGCCTGGTCGCGCCTCCACATATTCAAGGAGATCCTCATGGAGCTGATGATGCAGAGCAGGCCGATTGAATCTTCATCGAGCTCATGACGCAGCAGAGCAGGCCGAATGAATCCGGCCGTTGCAGCGAGGCACATATTTTTTGGTGCAATTTCAATTCAGGGTATGACACCCGCTGAAGCCACTGAGCTTTTGGGCACTGCCCGCTCGAGTGTTGTCAAAATCTTCCAGTTTGTTTTTCGGGGGTTTGGCGCGCTGTCAGAGACTCCACATCACATGTCAGGAGATTCACATTCACATGTCACATGAAGTATTTTTCAGTTGCAGATTGGTGTCGAGTGACCCACACGTTTGAATTGTTTCCCAGCTGAACTTCCACATTTGATATATTTGTGCAAAGGCTCAAGTGAGCGAAGTTTTGAGTAATGGGGCGATTGATCATGTGACGCCGTTTGAGGGTCTGAGCCTCTGCACTGGACTGTCAAGTGACAGTATTGAGTTGTCAATGCAAGCTCAACCATAACATGTCATTGCAAGTCATAAGACTTGATTCCTTCAGCTGTCAAGTGACGCTTAATGGCATCAGGTGTGGAAGTCCACAGTCTTTACCTCAGAGTGCCAACTCCGGAAACATCATTCAATGCAGATTGTTTCACTGGACGAGTGTCTGGTGCAATTATTAAGATAAATGGTGACTGCATTTCACGAGGTCTTCAGTGAGATTTCCTCAATTGTCAGGCTGGGCCATGAGTTGCAAGTGCAACTTTTATTGTCCATAACATGACGTCACCAATCATAATAGTGTTTTCTCATGCCGTCAAGTGACGCCCGATGGCAACAGGCGTGGAAGTCCACAAGTCTTTACCTCAGAGCGTGCCAATTCCTGAACATCATACCATGCGGCTTGTAACACTGGACAAGTGTCTTGTGTAACTATCCAGATGAAAAGGATGAATGCGGTCTCACCAGGTCTCAGTTGAGATTTCCTTGATCACCAGGCTGGGTCATGAGTTGCGAGTGCAACTTTTAATGAACCTGAAGTTTTACTCCCTTAATGGAGCGATAACAGGTTTGCAAGTGCATTCCGGCATGTCAGACTCAAATGAGTGCTGTTGAACTTCCCCAGCCGAGTACTGATTCAGGCGGTCCATACCTCAGGTGACAGTTCTCTACTCAGATTAGATTCTGGCACATCTGAGTGGCTGACGGCATTTCTTCATGTAGATAATCTGTCAGAATCCTTGGTTGATGAAGAGCACTTGTTGCCCGCTTAATCTCTTACCACAGGAAATTTTTCATCCTTATTTACTTATCTCAGGTTGTGGGCGAAGTCAGTGAGGCCTCTGAACCTGAGTGCATGAGCATCCGTGCATCCGGCCTAGAGCATGCGAAGAGGGTTGAAGCGGCCCATCAATGTGGACGACTGCTCCGAGTCAGCATCCGTTAACTCCCAAACTGTACAGCTGCCTTTGCCCGATGATCTTGATGCATCTGAAGTAGTTGACGTAGCAGGGTCAGATGAATTAAATCTTTTTGGACACGAGGAGGACAGCCCTCACTGGGATGGTTATCGGGATATCCCCCCTCAACCATCTACTTTACCCAATCAGAAAACATTCACCCTGGACGATGCCAGTGTTAAGAGTTTGAAGTCAATGGTGACAGACTCATGTCTTGGGACCAAGCCCACTTTCAAATTCAAAATGCCTTGGGAACGCAAAGGGCTGGCACAAATCTTCAATAAAGATCCTGCAAAGCTTATCCCGATCCCTGTCATGGGACCAATCGATTTTGATGCGTTAGGTAATCAGACATCCTCATCCGTTCCGCTTGTACAGGGAAAAGCTAGGGGGGCTTTCAGTGATGTCATCAACTTCAGAAACATAGATGTGTCCGAAAGAGATCTAGAAGAGTCGGCCATGACAAAAGCTCTGGAAAAGTGGTACATGATCTTTTCAACGGGTCCTAAATCATGGCCCAACGGTTTTGACCTCCGTGCTGCCGTGCGTGACCACCGGCTGGAAGACATGCAACTCGTTTTTGGGAATAGGAGTCATGGGACCATTCTCAGAGGGGGATCAAGCATTTTGCAATTCACGAAGTGGTACAAAGCTCGGTATTTTGCACTGTGCCCGTTTCCTGTATCAAGAGATCTTGTCGAAGAATATCTGCAAGCAATGAAAGAACAAGGCAAGCCTGCCTCTTTCATTAGGGGGTTTGTGGAGGCACTGAATTTCTGCAAACATGTTGTCGGCATCAATGTGAGCTTCCAGTCTGGAGACCTCATATCAGCCAAGATCCACAGAATGATCGAACTCAGTGACGCCATGCGGAAGGAGAAGAACCAGGCTAGGGTCTTGAATGAGAGACTTGACCTCACTTATCGATTTGCCAGTGGATGCATGCTGTTTTGCCTTCACAGCAGGAGCAGATGGTCCGACATCAGAAAGATATATAACTTCTATGCCGATATAGACGAAAAGGAAGGAAAGATATCCGGATATCTGGAATGCAAGACCAGGTCACACAAGACATCCAGGCTGGTGGCAAAAGGTGGGTTGGCAATGCCATTGGTAGCCCCTATCTGGGGAGTCACCTTGCCACCCTGGGGATTGACGTTCCTGAAGGTCGCCCAGCTCGCTGATAGGCAGTTAGAAAGCTTCGACCAGGAGCCTCTGCTTGCAGCTCCCAACCTGACCGGAGGGTGGTCCTCACGATCGGTCACAACTAAGGAAGCGGGAATGTGGATTAGGAATTTGCTCAAAAAGCTTGATGGTGGCTCTGCTTTTACCACGATTCACACCCTCAAAGCCACACCTCTTTCATGGAGCGCCAAGTGGGGCCTGGATCCGGATGTCCGTGCCATCCTGGGACATCACTCCACAGGAAAAACCTCTGCTGAATGCTATGCCAGGGACAGCTTAGCCAAACCACTTAGGGATTTTGAGCTGGTACTCCAGCAGATCAGGACAAAAGCTTTCTCTCCAGATGCGACACGCTCCGGAATGATGAGTTCAGCAATCGTACCCGATCCAAAGTCCTTTTTCCAAGTTGACCCTGCACCCGATCACAAAGCATCCGAAAACGCCGGCGATGAATCCGGTTCCTGTGAAACGTCTTCCGACTCCGAAGCATCCGACGGTGGTGACACCGAACCAGAGGCTGATTTCCAGCAAGACCCTGTAGTGGCACCCAAAGCCTGGGATTCCGACGTTGTCATGTCAGGAACCTCCGAACGCAAGTTGTTCACGTGGTAGCTGGTGGGAGTGTGGAGTCCCTCTTGTGTGGGGTCAAGATCACTCAGGATTTTGAACAAGTCGATGAATCCCCTTTCCTGGACATTCGCAGGTGCAAAAGATGCGCCGCAAAGAGGCCTATCAACACGGTAGGACACCTTGCATCAGTCTTGGGAGCTTCCAAACGAAGGTGAAAAAGAAGGGCGCGCGATGTCAGGGGGGGGAGAGTTCACATCGAATTCATGTGGTACCATATGAAATGGCGAATGCCTTTCAAAAGTCAGACCTCTAGTTGCGATGGTCAATTCGGTACGTCACATGTCAAACTTTGAACATGGCAAGTGCCACAATCTGAGATGGATGAGGTCATCTAACTCACGAGTGTTGAGTGCAATCAATCACCATGCACGTGCGTGGCTCAGAAAAAAACATTTTGTCAGAATGACGGGATGAAGACGAGGACCATGTTCTACATCATGATAGATTGAAACAAGACAAACATCATTTTCAAACTCATTTCAGACCTTCCACTATTTTCTAAGTTTAGAGCTGACAGCATCACACCTCCTCCTCGCCGACATGAGCACCTTGTTAGAGTCGAAAGAGGCTCTGAGATCAAGGGGCATCGAGGTTAGCTTGACAGCGGAAGAGATTGATGCCCTCATCACAAACCGAGTGGATTCATTGGCCCGCCTGGCCTTGGCTGCATGCCCCCCGGGTGAAGCTCCGACCAATGAGCAGACCGATGGACTTTTCAATGGGCTTGTTACGCTGAATCCAGGCACGTATGCATCAATGAAAAGACTCATTTTTGAGGCGCAGACGCTTTTGTCAGCAGAACTCCAGAACAAGGTTCACAAGACCGAAGATCAGACAAAGACAAAGTTGGCACCTGCTGAAAGAGAGAATCGAGTCAAAGAGCAAAGAGTCAGACTTGAAGGCCTCCGACTCAAAGGAGAAGAAGAGTGTGCCTTTCAAAACTATGACCTTGTCTTGGGTATGATGGAAAAGGGTTCACTTGTGTACCTTCCACCAGAGAAGTTTGCAACGAGAAGAAGTGAGCTGGCCCTCAAGAAAGCCACCAAAGAAATATCAATAGACCAAAGTGCACTCGTTGTTCGAGACAAATCCCAAGACATCACCTGCTCGACAGCAACAGAATTGGAGACAACGAACGCTATGAGGCGACGTGCACTTGCATTCGATCTAGTCCAGGCATGCAGCTACCTTGTCATGAATGCCTATCACGCAGAGCTCTTCGACCACTTGCACATGGTTCCGCCGCCTGGATACTCAGCGGTCACTTTGACCCAGATCCTCCGAGCAGATCGTGCAGCCTGGCTACACATGGCAGAGAAGCTGAGCACTTTGAAACGTGATCAACAAGGGAACCTGCCTTTAGACATCGAGATTGCCAAAGTTCTTGCTCACCCTTCCGTGACTTTCCATCTCCTGCCATTGCCTTTGAGGACCAATAACGACAGACCAATTCAGCCCAAAGCAACAGCCACACCGAAGCGCACAAGATCGCGCACTCCTCCAAAGGCCAACACATCAGCACCTGCCAAAGGAAAAGGAAAAGGGAAGGGTGGCAAATCCAAAAGGGGACGTGGCCCCAACATTCTACGCGGGCTCATAGGCAAGTGTTTGCACACCAAAGCAAACGAGCGTCTATGCTGGGCATTTAATCTCCCACAGGGGTGCCAAGATGCAAAACCTGGTAGCAAGTGCGCCCGTGGCCTGCACCTCTGCGCAGAGCCAAACTGCGAGCAGCCGCACAGTCTCCAGAATCATCAGTGACAAACTCAAGTGAACGGGCCAATTTTGCCTTCGGACCCACCTGACATTCGAAGTAATGCAGTTTCGTCCCAACAGGACCGTTCACTGGACCAATTTTTCTGCATCGAAATTTTCGCGGGTTCCGGAAAACTCACCGCCGCCTTGAGATC